TTTACAGTTAGCATTCCAACTGTTTTGGGCAAAACTGAGAAATTCTACCACATTACCTTATAATATCGTAACTCCGGATCCAATAATTCAGTTAAATATATTGTCTTGAGTAGTTTTATGTTCAAATATATAAAACTTTTATTATTATTTTTTTATTTGCCATATCCAATTAATAAAAAATAAGCTGCAGAGTAAGTAATAATAGAAAATAGATGCAATTATTATTAATTAATTACCAAGTAGTTAATTGAATCAATTTATAAATTATTTTAATTGCTGTAAATTATTTTTATGAAAGTAAAAACTTGACTTCATTTATAATATCATAACTTTTATTATACTTTTATTAATTTGTAATTTAAACAATATAACAATTAGCAAATACTATGGATTTAATAAAGTCAAAATGATTACATACACGATATTTTTTTTTTTATTTTTTTTATTGTAATTGCACCTAGTCTACTTAAACTAATTAGCAATATTGATAAGACGGGGTACATATAAGATATATTATTATTACAATAGTCATTGCTTTTTGTAAATATTAGTAGTTTCAGATTTGTAAAATAAAGATTATTTTAATGCAAGACATGTTTTCATTATGAAGCTTAATTATACTTATCTCTTGTCACCAAATATTAACTTTAATAACCTAACTTTTATTTGAATAGAGAAATTTTTGAGCAGTAGTGAACTACAACCACAAAATGTTATTATTTTTAATTAAAACCAGGTTTCACTGACCATACAGCTGTATTGAGTATTGTCAGATTCCCATCATCAGTGAACTTTTTAAAAATACTTCTTATACTTAATTATGCGTAAATAATTTATTAATACTGCAAGTGCGAAGGATTCAACTTAAACCCTATCAAATTTGAAGCTCAGAATCAGTGTTAATTAGCTAACTGGCCCAAAGCCGTACCTGACTTTGCTTGTGTTCTTAGTTTTTCTAAATGATTTTCTATCATAATACATGATTTTTTAATATGATGACTATGAAAAGCATAAGCCCATCTTCTACATATTTTCTTATTAGTTACCAGTACGCAATTTAAATACTCATCACTTAATAAATTTGTTGAACAATTCTCTATGCTTCCACTTACTAACAGTCAGTAGGTAATTTTAATAAAAGTATTGAACCATAGAGAGAACATCAAAAATAATTAATTTCAAAACATTTAGTAACAAAATTCCTATAATAATTCGTTGATTTTAATTATTATTTACTTTTAACAGGAACTCTTGTGGCACTTTTATGTTGTTTACAAATACAAACAAGATATTTCACTTCAAAGTAAGCACAAATTTTGCTGCATACTTCAGGGCTGATGTCGAAGGACATCTCATCTAACTATTTGTATAAAAACTCAAATAATTGAAATACATTAATGTCAAAATTGTTATGTAAAAATAATTTTGTGAACTCTGCGTTATTAGCAACAATGTACATATTTAAAGTAAAATCGTTTGTTACAGTAGCCACATAATTTAGTGCTCGTAGCAACATAAATCGCAGCAAAAACATTGAAAATGTTTGATTTATGTTCGTTGCAAACATCAAAAACATCAAAAACATCACAGCAATGACAACAAAAACAGCAGCAACACAGCAACATGGCAACAATTTACGAACAATGAAAGTATGTTGCTTACATTACTTTCACAATATAAAAATGGCACAAAAAACTTTCACTTCCAAAGTTAGGTCAACAGGAAAAAATCAATATACACAAAGAAATGTGTTTATATATGTGGAAACATATTAAAGCCTTAGTCCGTGTTCATATATACATACAGACATAGCAAAAAAAAGTGTATATAAACAATGAATTTAAAAAAATATAAATAATATACAGCAAATGAAAATCTGTTTCGAGTAAAAACAAAGGAAGGAAAAAGTTTATTCGAAAGGACGAAAACTGCGTACGAATCTACTTTTGGCTTCTAGAAAAAAATGCTGAAAGGAAGAGCAAAATGTATAAATACAAAATAATAAATTAGGAACAAATTCAACAAAAAAAGAAAAAAATTATAAATTAAAAAAAATTCACAAAAAAAGTAGAAATCATAATACTTACGCAAAAATTAAACTCAAGGAAGCTGCAAAAAAGAAAACAACTGAAACACAAAAAAGGACACCAAAGCAAAGTGAAACAAAAGTTTACGTTGAACTTTACGATGGATGGGGGCAGCACGTGCAAAGTTTTTACTTATTTATTTTTTGCTGAACTTGCTGCCATTTTGTTTTACCTCTATTTTTTAGAGCTCCATTTTTTTGCTTCAAAGTCGCGCCATTATAATTTTAATAACTATGCCATGTCATGTGCAATCTGCATATTGCACGCTGTTGGCTTCATTAAGCCGTGTGCATCGAAAAAATCCTGGAAAATTTTTAGCAAGGAAAAGCGAAAAACTTCAAGTTTAGGTTTTGAGGAGAATTGTGCTTTTCTTTTTGTTTTTCTTTTCATGTGAATTGTGTTAGTTGTGTTAGCGCATCCTTACATTGAATACCTTCATAAAGTGTCTCTCAGAAATATAAGGACATTGGCGGCTTTCGCACAAGCGATTTTCATTTAAGGATATTCCACATTGGATTTCTGTCAATGTTTCATTTCAGGCAATTTGCTTGGTTGGCAAATTGGATGAAATTTGCTGCAATATGCTAAAGGAATTAAGTAAATTATTCGTTGCAGCGGGAACTAAAGTGGAACAGATTGTGTTTATTATTAAACAACTGCTGGTTTTCCAGTTAAGGTGTGGTATAAGAAAACTGAGCTCTTAAATTCATATAAAAATAAACAATCTTACTACAAAAAGCTTTATTTATTTAATGAATTTATTTGCAATAGCATATTTACTTTCAATCAATAATTCTGAAATTAACTGCAATACGTTTTTCGCATCATTAAACCAAAAGTTGCATTCTTTTTCCTAATTATCAATAGTTCTCGTTATTTTTGTATCTTACTAACGCTTGTTATTTTGCTAATTATACGCAATATTTTTGAAATGTGAAATAATAAATAATTTATAATACATTCATATATACTGTGTAATTATTAAAATTGATAGTTCATTAGTTATTTTATAAGCAAGCCATGTGCACATGGTTTGTAAGTTTTATTGAGATATCTACACATAGTCTCTACGAAAGCTTTTATTCGATTAACTTAAAATCGATGTGATAAGTTTATACATACCTGCAAAAATAGACCTAGCTCCTTACATTAATTTATCAGAAAAATATGTGGCTTACAAAACCTGATATCACCTTGAACTCTTTGAAATCTTCTTAGACAACTAAATACATTTCTGATTAATATAAACGTATGGGGTGTGAAATCTATAAAATCTCCAAATTATAAAAGAATTTCTAGAGGAAGAATTTTGTTACAATTAAGTTGGTTTTAATTTTCTGATATACTATATCAAAAGTATTTATATATAGTCTTATATACAGAGCTATATTTTTAATCTTTTTCTCTAAGAAACTATTAATAACGCATAAAAGCCGACTACAATATGCGACTATAAACCTTAACTTTTAAACTATTGAAAATCACTTATTCCTAACTTTACAATCTGTATACAATAATAAACTATATAATAATAACCTGTCCTTTTATTTTATTTAGGATAACATGACCAAGCCACGCATTGCTAAAATAAAATATTAATATAGTTTGAAAATACTTCAAAATATATATTAATACAAATAATATGTTAGAAAATGGCAAAAAATGATGGATCTCAGATTTCGGTCAACAAATCCAACTGACTATGGATTTATATAACTACATGTAATCCAATGTAAGACTTCATAGAACTTCTTCTACTACTTTAAATCCCATACTATTCTAAACTATACGACTTTTGATTGCTTTCCTAGGTTTCATTTCAAAATTTGTCTGACCTTAACTTTGGTCTTATACCCTTACTCAATCCATTGGCTTTTCTATTTCTAAAATTCAGTTTCTACTTGTCTTTAGTTTGTTCTTCTATATATCACCTCCTTGGATATATCTTTATATCTTAAGTATTCACCTAAGTTGTTGGTTATAGATAATAGTTGTTGATAATAGAAACATGACTGTTTCTATTTGTTTCGTTTCCATCTCTTACATTAGCACAACAGCACTAATTCTATATTGAAGATTAAAATGCCTGGTTTTAATGGTCAGCTGATTAAATCACCAGACATTGTTTAATTGGCTGAAGGTAAAATGTACTCAAAACATTTCAAAATATCATATAAAAATCATTGTAAAACGGTGTACATTTTATTATTATTTTATATATTTTTAAATATTTTTATATGTTATCTAAAATATTTTATATATTATATTTTTTATATATTTTCAAAAATTAAAAATTTTAGATTCAGAAATCTATGAATATTGATTAAAATCAATTGGAAATAAAATTTAACTAAAAAATTCATAAAGTTTTACTCTTTTCTTTTGTTAATCAAATTTTATTCCATTTTTAAAGCTTTTAAACTAATTTATTTCATATGAGTTATTAGTTTATTTATGAATTCATAAGTTTGTAAAATTGTTCAAAGAAATGGAGTTAAACCAAAATTTATGTGTGGTTCTAACGGAAAGTGCATATCCAAAATTTCCATTTAAATTATTCTCGTTTTTGATAAACGAAACAAAAACATTTATTAAAAATGCATTGTTCCCGGGTAAAAATAAATCGCGTACATTTATTCTAGCTCCGATTACAGTTCAAAAATAAAAAATTACTAAAATATATTACATAAAGTTCGTTATTTATTTTGAAAGCTTTCCCTGGAATATATTGGCAAACCGAATAAAATAGTATTTGCAATATCTAAATAAATATTTAATATCTGCAAAGCAAAAAAATTAAACAAAAGTGTTGAATAAAATTTATTTATAGTCAGTTTTAATCTATGAAAGTGTTAACCTAAAAAATAGCAACGAATCAGTATAAGAAATTTTAATAAATTTTTGATTATATTCATTTCTCATAGACTCAACCTACAAAACAGCAGATATGGTAAGTGAGAATAATGTTAATTGAACATAAATTTTTTTATATAATGTATCTATATTTCAAAGTTTCAATGATTAGGTAATATTCATTTTATAAGATATTAACAACCCGATAATATGCTCCAGGTATCGTACAATCAAATTAACACCTGTCGCGTATTGTATGAAAGGTTGAAGCCATAAGCCAACTACTTACTATTTATCTGATCGCTCCATTATAGAGTAAAATTTTAAACAGTTACAAATTTTATAAGAAGATCGGAAATATAGCATGGTAACCTACAATTTCTTTGTCTACCATAACACACCAATCAACAACTCCAGCATCCCTATAAAGCTCATATACTTATAAAGAATATTTGGTAGAATCCAGTTTAAACGAACACCTTAACTCCTTAATTTAGTAGTGGCACAATGTATTAAAAATTTATTCACAACATCGATATCGTTTGACATAATCAGGGTAATATCACTGCCGCTACAGTGACATCTAAAAGATATCTGCGAAAGCTACAAATGCACCAATTACTGCCGACAATTCTTTCAAACCTGTCAAGAATATTCTGTATCTTAGTACCACAATAAACAATAATAACAACGTAAATCAATAGCTTAGACAAGAAAATATCATTTGCTATAGGTATAACTACGGCTTCAGTAGAACACTTACCGCACCACTATTTCCATATAACGTTCTCATAGAACAATTAATCATTACTGAGAGTGGTCGAGGGAAATATTTCTTCTAATATCTTCGGTCTTTCATAAATTAAAGACGATAAACGCATTCAAACGAGAACTAAGAAAAATAAGAGCTTTATATATCACTCATCATACTAGAGTCTCTGCTAAACATAGTATCATAAACGGTTCGGAAGGTGCGTGCTGACAATTGTCAGCACTTCCACTTGGAGCCATATGTTGCCCATTGTGATTCCCTCAAAAATTTTGCCGGGGGAGGTGAGTTGCTAACCTTTGTAATCCTTGTTAAACATTTGGTTTTCCAGATGAAGTTGAGGAAATCCGATAAGTTTGCTTTCGTTATCTCTTCCACGCCAGTGAAAAAGCAATCCCCCAGGCATTGAAGTCGCCTTGTCTGAAGTCCTGAACGGAGACACAGAAAATGGTTGATAGGTGTTACTTCCTTTTCATATTGGCAACTCCTGCATAATCCACTTGTTGGAACTCACCACCGTTGGAAAATAGGCGCGCAATGGCACAGTGCCCCGTTAGTACTCCAGTAAGCACACGAACTGCAGGTTTTCTGAAACCTAAAAGGCTTTTCGTTTTATTTTTGTATAACCTTTAGACACCTTTTTGAATAACTTATTCGTAAGATGATTACCGCATTCAACTAAACCACCAACTGAAGAGTGAAAAAAATCTTTCGAACGAAAGTTGATGGAAGAAGACTTATAGCGAATAATCGTTTTGCTGATGGTATGATAAAGTTAAGTGAGCGAGAAATGCACTTGTTATATAAAACTGTACAAAATGTTCATGGAACAGATCTCATCGATTCTGTCATCGGTTTTTTAAGTATTGATTATAATAAAATTATCTAGAAGGACGGAAGTTTTTCTCATTTTCTTCATCGTTCAATGCTCTCTTTACAACCAGTATTTGTAAAATTCTTGATCGCTTCATATCGATAATCTGAATAAATCAGATATGCATTGAAAGTTACTTTCATACTAACATATTTTCAAATATTCTTCAACACTCTTACTATTCAAAGGCCTCAATATTTTCTTTCTCAATTTTTATGATAGACTATAAGTTGCATAATAATTTTGAAAAGCCTTAATAATGAAAACAATACATATAAGAATAAAGAAAAATGAAGTTGATTCTATAACTGAGGCAATAAAAATAATTAAAGTACTTAAATAGATTTTACAATTTATCTGTGTGATGAATTATGTTCCATAATAATACGGCTTATTCTTATGATAAGCAGTTTTATGATTAATTTAATAAATCTGTTGAACTATATATAAATTATGTAACATATAATGCTATAATAATACAAATTCTTTTTAATATACTAAAAATACTATACTATACTAATGCTAAAAATAATATCTTCACACTAAAAATTGTATTTAATGGATTAAATTTTTCTCCATTATCCTTCGCATTAAAGCTAAACTACTTAAGCAACAAATTTACACAACTAAATATTATTGAACTTTAATTTAATGCCTTTTTACTAAATTGCTTAATCCTCCGTTTAAAGATAAAAACTTGCATTGAGTAGATAATTCAAGGACTTAAACATTTTTGCACGAATCCTTAGGGATTAAAATGAAGTTTAAATTTTCAGTTCACCGAATCTGTTTATAGAAATTAAAATAAAATATTATCGCAGGTATTCAAGTGTAAAGACAAGCAACACCTTTGATGTACTCTTCACGATTCACGATAACAACTCTTATCATTGCTGAGTGAATGTTATCTTTTCAATTAATTTTATGAAATACATAATTTGTTTAAAAAAAGAATTAAATTAAATGAATTCAAAGCATAAAACACGTTATGAAATACTTTGAATAATAATGAAATTTAAATGAATATTAATTAAAGACTGTAATGCTCATACATTAAGGAATTTCCTCCGTAATCATTTTAAAATGAATTTTATTTAATTATTAATTAATATGCATGTATAATAAATATACTGGAAAATTAAATAAATTCAGTTTACTTGCATAATTAAATGAATTTTATAAATAAACTTCATTATTGATTGATCAATTATTAACTCAAATATGATGTAAATACCAATACTTATTTTACTTAGTAAAATACTTTTCATTAAAATGTTCTGCAGGTTAAATAATAAAAACAATTTTAATTAAATCAGGAAATTATTGTTGTGAGGCCTTTTTCTTAATGCACACTCTATTCTGATACTATAATACCACATGAATTTATTTTCTGGAGATATCTTCATGAATACTTTCAAGATCTCTTACGAGCTTAAGCAACTGCTATTATAGTTATATATGTACCTATATATAAATCTTTACTGTCTTTGAATCTACTTGAAAATATAAGTATATCTGCAGAAAATAATTGAAACTAAGCTTGAGATTTTGTAGGCTTTGTAGATCTCTAAAACAGATCACTAAGCACAACATATTTAATAAAACAGTCTAAGCAAGTAACATATAGTTACATGAAATGAAAGAAATTCGACCTTCTGCAATTAGATAGGAAACCTTTGTGGTGTCTTTTTTCTCGTAATTTTGACAAAAAAAAAGAGTTGAGCGACTTCTATCAAATCTTATCACTAATCTAAAGTTAAAACGATAATTTTGAGTTCCATAATATATAATCCACATTTTTAAATTTGAATTTAAATAACCCAACACAATAGTATAGTAGATATGTCTTTTTCAGTCACCAGTGAGCATTATTCACAGAAAGTCCAAGATGAATCGTACCTTTATGATCTTCTATTATGGTTCAGATAGGTATACATACGGATGCAAACTGTAGATTCTGTGAAGAGAATGAGGAGAGTCGGTCATACATGTGCTGTTAGAATGCCCAGCGCTAATAAACATACGGAATAGACTCTTGAGAATCTATATTCTTACGGAATAGGCAATAAAACTCTGTAAAGTAGACTCCATACTACTTTTTACTGACACAACAGGGCTTAGAGCCCTACTCTAAACCCAGAAGGGGCACAATAGATCCGACGGTCGCACTGCCATATCCCCTAACAATAATAATAATCATAATTATTTGAACATATATCTATTCAGAAACTTTAAGTTTGTTTTTATGAATAGAATCTAAAGTTTCAAATTTCTGGGAAATGGTGTTACTTTAAATAACAACTATATTTTATGCAAATATTTTAAGGTTGGCCGTTTATCTAGCCAACATAAAAATGTTTTACAAATACTAATGTATCTGAATTTTTTATGATGACACCATTTCTAAAATTTCTCGAATCTTTTGGATAATATAAAATAACGAATCAAAAAAATAAAGCAGTCTTGAAGTACTTTAGGCTGTAAAATCAAGACTATTTAAGTAGTTCTTAAGTTTTGTTTAAGGAGAAATATCTATTTTGATATTTATGTGAGTGTTCTTATTAAAATAGACTACCTATTATAATTTTAAAAAGAATCTTTACAAAACAGCTCTTTCAAAGGAAAATGAAGGATATCCTTACGCTGCTGGCTCCATATAAACAAAATCTAATCAAGACAAGTAGTATAAAATTCAAACGAGTCAAAGCATCCAAACTAATATAATCCAATCTACAAGTGTGATTAATAGCCCTGAAAGATATTCCACATAATGGTCTTTCAAAAATATGATTCTTTTTATGTATGAAACTTCCGTGGAGGACTCAGAATTTCTTAACCAGATGTATGTCTACAAAATTGTATTTCTTTATTATAATATTTATATATAAGACTTCCAATGAAATAATCTTAACATGTCATTTATATCTAAAAAAAGACAGTGAACAGTTAATATTCAGTTGGTATATGGAAAGTTACAATGTATTTTGTTAAGGAATTCCGTCCTAATATTCACTTTATAAATTACAATCTAATATAAAGTCTCACCATCTTCCGGACAAGCACATTATTCTGTCATATCAGACAATCTCATCTTGTTAAGTAATGCAAGTGGAACTGTTAAGTAAAGAGTTTTTAATCTTAACTCTGAATCTGCTAATTAAAAGGGCGTCTTTACTTCCAAATCACTTGTACAGAGAGTAACCGTTTCACAGACCTTTTATTGAATTTTAATTGTGTCATAAAATTATTAAATCAATAAAATCAACTGAATTGTATGGCAAAATTAATTTATTATTTGGGTTTTAAATACTAAAATAAACTCTCTTCCCCTAATATTAAAATTGAACTTAAATATTAATTTAACAAACTTTGCAAAATATATTAAAAACAATCTCAAAATTAAAAACTTAATTGTTTGTTTTTATTAATGTTTTCTAAAAGAAAAGACATAAAACTGAACTGTGGAATATTAATAATCGCAATCACAGCATAAAATCTCGAGTATAATTCAGCACTGGTCACAATAATTTTCCATGTAATTAACTTTTAGTGTTTTTTTTTAAATTTAAAAAATGTTTTAAATTAAATACTTATATTACAATTACTAAAACAAAATTTTTTTGTTTTTCATTGCAGTATGGATTTGTTAATTATGCTTTGGAACTGCTGGTGCTAAAGCATTTTGGAGAGGAAATATGGGAAAAAATAAAGTGAGTGATGCAAGAAATTTTAATTAATAAAAAACTTTATATTAAACAATTTTTTAAATTAAATTGAAATGTGTAAAAACCAGAAATAATTTTTAAAAAATGCTGCAAAATGTGGTAAAATAAGTATTTCAGTTAAAAATATTTAAGCAAATCATATGAAACTAAACAAATTAGATATAGAAAACATAGGTTGTTAGATATATAGACAATAATTTAATATAAACAATAAATTACGTACATTTATACGTACATAGAAACGTACATAAATATAAATATATATTAATAAAAGCTAAGAACCTACTTACTTACTTAGTTGCCCATCACAGACGTGGGTCGTTCTTGACTGCGTCGAGTAGCCTAATCAGTGGCTTGTTGTCGCCAGTTGGTAGTACCGAGTGCCCACAAATCATTTTTTACCTGGTCGTTCCACCGAAGATGCGGACAGCCTCTATCGCGTTTTCCACCTGCAAGTAACCAAATCAAACACCTTTCTAGCCGGAAAACTTTTAATATATAAGTGCACGTAATTAGCTTAAAATTTTCAAATAGGAATTTCAATGAAAAAAAATGCGATTTTTTCTGATACGGCTGATACAAATGATACTCCACAATGCGAGATTACCTTGATACAATTAATATCCTTTGATATTTTGATATAATAATCTCTTAATTATTTTTAAAGCTCTTTAGTTTAAGCACATTCAAGAAAAAGTGTTCAATTTTAATGGAAAAGATTCGATAGTACCTATATATATAACATATACATATATATGTTTGGTAATGATTGGAGATCTGGAGAGAAACACAATGGCCTTGTTTATCTCATCTTTTAAACTCTAACTAGTTTTATAATAACTTGTTGATCATAAGGATAATGATATTATGTATCAGAAAATTCATAATAGATTGGACAATATATACAAGCAGCTGTTGCAGCTTAAATATAGTTAATAAATATAGTCTGTAGTTTAAATATTATTATTTCCCTGATTATTATTTACCACCATTTTTGATAACTGCGCAGAGCGAAGCGATTTCTTAGCTAAGAAAAAGCATGACTCCATTTTGTTGTGATTTAACTCGGTAGAATGTTAGCGTCACTGGTAGTATAATTATTAGCTTCCAATTTCTAGAGTTATAAGGAACAGTAATGACAATGTACAAGGGTTGGTTAGCTTAACTGTTGTAAGGTTAATAGGATTGACGGATGCACCAGTGTGAATGCAGAAATTAGAAAAAGAAAGGGTAGAGGATTAGATACTCGAAGAAGCATTTTATGTAACCTTATGATATGGATTACTACGTCATCATTCCACTGCAATACCAAAAAGCACTTTCTAAAATATTCTAAAACTATTTTTATGATAATTTTAATAAAAATGGTATTCAATTCAAATCTTGAATAACTTTCTAATTTATTTCTGATTCCCTAAGTATCTTAAAATTAATTTAACTTCAGTAAATATAAAATTTATTCGTTTAATAAATCAAACTGTTGAGATATTAAATTTCTATTATCTCATTTATGTTTAACAATTTTCTTATTTACTTTATTTATAAAATTTAATTTGATTTACTTATTAAATACGTATCTTAATAAAATTATCTCTAATGTGTACTCACACACTAAACCTTTTAAATCTGCTTCTAATCCCCCATATACAATAATTATATTGAAATCACAATAATGAACTCAGTTTATATAATGTTTCATGTATCTTTTAATATTATTTCATGAAAATTAAATATTTAAACATAAGTATATTTAGATTTATTCCCACACATACTCCTACCCGTACATCATTTTAACCACAACAATTCACACAAAGTCTCTCATACATCCAAACACATACGCCATGGATTTCTTTTTATGGATTTCATAAAGTCTAATTCTACTGCTACCATGTTTCAACTGTCTATTCGACGTTAAACGAAGCCACAAAGCGAAATAAATTGAGAGTGGTATCTACGCTCATACATACATACTCATGCATACATACATACCATACGGCTTTAAAAATAGCAAATCTGACTGACAGTAGTACAAATAAGAGCGACAGGCGAGCATTCAGTAAATATTTGTTAGGTGAACTCATTTAAAATGGAGTATATTCGTACAAGTATTGAGCTGAGGAAGATAAGATATCGAGCAACTTGTAAGCGCATTCAGCAATATTGCAAGCATTTCATCTGACTGACAGCTACAACAAGCCATCAACTGTAACGATAATTAAATTTTGCGGTAGGCTTTTAAGTAATTTTATTTATTTATTTCACTAATCAAAAGTTATTTTTTTTATTACTAAGAGTATTTTCATATATTTTGATCATTTTTTCGTTGTTTATTTAAAGTAACCTTTAAGTA